TCTCTGTCTCTGTCTATCTCTCTCCCTGTCTATCTCTCTGTCTCTCTCTCTCTCTCTGTCTCTCTCTCTGTCTCTGTCTCTGTCTGTCTCTCTCTGTCTCTCTCTGTCTCTGTCTCTGTCTCTGTCTCTCTCTGTCTCTCTGTCTCTCTCTCTCTCTTTCTCTGCCAGCTCCATTCCCTCTTCCCCCTTGGAGCTCCCAAGTTGCCTTGATGCTGACCCTAACTCCCACGCCTCCTCCTGCTCCTCTGATTCGGCTGCTAGAGGGGCTGGCAGCCAACAGGCCACAACACATTAGAAAAGGTAGAATTGATCATAAAACATCCTTTGGATAACCAAAGACCTCATTTCCCCTCAGATCCCTTCAATAACACCCCTGCTCTTTGAGTATTGTTTTATCTGGCTATAAGAGCACATGTTTTGTTTTGTTTTTTGAAAACATTTAAGGGGTCCCTGATTTGATACAAGATGCCCTGATTAACCTCTTGATCTCCATCATCCTAGGCAGTGCATCTGAAGGACAAGATCCCCCGCAAGGTTGCTTCCCATCAACTTCGAGAAGTAAGATCATATTTTTCTTTTCTTTCTCTCTCTTTCCAGTTTTATAAATAACATTATCGTATTACGTGTTAAGCTTCATAATTCTCATATTATAGAATACATCACTGCATTCTGCAACTCTTTATCGATGACCTACTTAGCATTAATTGTGCATTTTAAGCAACGTTATACTTGTTAACAGGTTAGAAATCAGATTTCATGTTGATGCATATAGCTCTCAAAATATGACCACAGTTGAGCCCAAAATTTGTGCTGCTAAGTGAGACAGTTGTTCAGCGAATTTCCCCTCATTTTATGATTTTTCTTGCCATCGTTGTTAAGTGAATCACTGCAGTTGTTGTTAGTAACATATTTGTTAAGTGAATCACCGCAGTTCTTAACTTACTAATATGGTTGTTAAGGGAATCTTGTTTCCTCGTTGGCTTTGCTTCTCAGAAGGTCACAAAAGGCGATCCCATGACCTGGGACATTGCAACAGTCATAAATATGAGTCTGTTGCTAAGCATCTGAATCCTGCTGCCACGGTTGTGCGAAACACAGTCATCATAAGTCACTTTTTTCCAGTGCTGTTGTTACTTTGAATGGCCATTAAATGAACGGTTGAAAGTTGAGGATTATCTGTACGGCCAGGCAGCTCTGCAGGCAAAAATAATAATCGAGATAGTGGCCATTAGCACCTGATCAACGTCCAGCTTTTTCACTGGATCAGAAACCCTTTTTTCCTTGGGTCAAGGCCTCTGATGTATTGATATCAGAAGTGGTATTCAAACCGATTCTGACCGGTTCCGAAGAACTGGTAGTGAAAATTTTGAGTCGTTCGGAGAAGCAAATACCACCTCCAACTGGCCCCGCCCCCATCTCTTCTCTTCCTCCCATTGAGTCCCAGCTGATTGGCTGGGTCTTCTTTTGTTGCCCTGCACAGGAGAACGGAGCTGGAAAGCAGGTTAGTGGGGTGGGGAGGGAAGGGGGATTTTGCAGTATATCCTCCTTCCCTTGCCACACCCACCAAGACACGCCCACCAAGACACGCCCACAGAACCAGTAGTAAAAAAATGGGTAGGTAGCTCATTCTGCCATAGAGTCAAAAGTGGTCTTCAGCAGGTTCTGACCAGCTCTGGAGAACCGGTAGCGGAAATTTTGAGTAGTTGGGAGAACCGGCCAATCCCACCCCTGACTGGCCCCGCCAACCCCATCTCTTCTCTGCCTCCCATTGAGTCCCAGCTAATCAGCTGGGTCTTCTTTGGTTGCCCTGCACAGGAGAACGGAGCTGGAAAGCAGGTTAGTGGGGTGGGGAGGGAATGCGGATTTTGCAGTCACCTTGCAGTAACCCCTGATATTGCAATAACCGGTAGTAAAAATTTTTTGAATCTCACCTCTGATTGATACATAACATTGCCCTAAGAAGGAGTTTTATTTTGTTCCTCTATCCCTCCCCCTTTTTCCTGCCTCCCATTTTGTAGAGGTTGAAAGACGCCGTCCGATCAGCCATTTGCCTGACAACAGGAAAGAATCAAAGCAGAAACGGCTTGGTACGTCCAACTCCCTTATTCCTTCTTTCTTTTTATAAGTCCAGAAACTGTTGAATGACCAATTGAGGAAGAAAAAGAAGCTTCCTTGGAGGACCTACGTCTGTTATAATTTGGGAATCCAGAAGTTAGGGCGTTTCTCCCCCCCCCCCCCCCGCTTTCTGAATGGAAAGAGACACGGGGAATCCATTTAGGTTGTCCTGTTGTCAAAGTTCATCTAATCAATTTGTAATTCAAAAGAAGATTATCCTTTGAAAATTCTAACTTTTGTTCCACAGTCATATTTACATCATCTGCTCCTTTCTCCCCAAACTTAGCAAGGATTGCACATTGTAAAACACGTGTTAAAAGAAATATTGTGCTTATTATATCTTCAACAGAATGCTGTCTTAGTGAGTCCTTTTGTCTGCCAATATAGTAGAATCCATACATTCTTTAGTTTAGTTTAATTTACTTTATTATCATTGCACAATTGTCTTTGCACCTCGTACAATGAAATTAAATACCATCTTCAGTGTACATTATGACTATGAAAATAAACACAAACACACATCCTTCACACTCCACGCATTGAATTGAAAACCCCTGATATTGCACTAATATTGCACTATGCAAGCAGAATTCAATAGAGTTACTGCCCTGGGATAGAAGCTGTTTTTCAGCCTATCTGTTAGGGTTTGGGGATTAACCCCTAGAAGAGTATTGCAGCAGTAGT